TTAGCTGTTGCGAATCTGAAGCTAGAAGAAGTTTCTTGTATCCCCTGTCTCTCGCTCGCTGAATCATAGAGAGAACTGCCATGGAGATTAACTCGTTGTAAAATTATCCCTAACAATCTCAAAAGAAAATATCGACATTTTGATTGGAAAAGACATTACAGAAAATATCAAACGTTCTTGTAAAAGACATTATCCCTTCTTTCAAGATTACTTGATCCAATAATTATTAATCGATAGAAGATTTCATGCCTAGTTGGATTTGATTAAATAGGAGAGTTGTATATTTTCCCATACGATGGAAAAAGTCCCAAACATAGGAGGAGTTGAAAACACAGACCTTTTTGTTTCTTTATATTTTCCCAATCATACTTGGAGTTGCATTGAAACTCGTATGTGTTGTGTATATATATAAACAATTAAACATATGTATTGTTTACGATCTCTAACATTATCAAACTCTCTCATAAATCTTCTTTGTTGCATCCCAAAAAGCATTCTCGTCTCTCTTCAATCAATAGCACATAATGGCACACGAGCCATCTTACAAACAACCACCAGGAGAAAAACACCTGGTCTCTTTGCGAATCAGCTTGTGGTTGTCTTGTGGGTGGTTTTTTCATATCTTTGCTCGTTGGTGCTCTTCTTTATATTAACAACCTAGAAAAAGAAACGTTTCCAGTTATAGAATTAGCGTCTATGGAATTCACGGTACTCAATATAACTGAGACTCATCTTAGCGCAAAGTGGGATATGTCGATAAGGATCCCCTATGAGCTCCCTGGTTACTATGTATGTCTTCAAGGAGACCTTCAAGCTTCTTTTCTTTACAAGAATATTAATCTTGCTACCTCATCCCCACAAAAGTAAGCAATTTGTTTTCTTCAATAATTTCTACTATTTATTATTTATTTAAACCGGTTTTCTATTCTTTACTTATACTTTTTGGAAGACTATAGAAAACTGATTGAATCTTCTGCTTAATCAGATACGACAATCTCCACTACCAAGTGCCTCAGCTTCTTAGTGTTTCAGCGCTTGTCTCTCGAAACGATATTAGCGGTTTGATTGGGAAAGACATTATGAATGATGTCAAAAAGGAGAGCAAAGTGCGATTCAGATCGCGGCTTTCTCTTACTGATTGCACATCTGGAGCAACGGGAAAGATGAACTTTGCGTGCGATGAAGCCACCTTACGGTTCAATCCTGGCTCCAACATGAAAGCGACAGTATTTGGGAACCACCCAACCTGCAAAATATTTTGACTAAGTTAGTTGTTATTATTTTGACTTTTAATTTAGGTGTTTTTTTTCCAAAAAGAGTTGTGTTTGAGAAGGTCTTTTAAATAGAATGTTTTACTTTTTTTACAAAAGACGAAATACCCCAGTAATTTAATAATCCAAGCAGAAAAATAAGTGAACCAAGATAACTAATTAAAGGGATAGAAGAAAGAGAGCCTCGGATGGAATAGGATGGGTGGGTGGCCTTATATATGACTTTATTCTTCAATTTTGAAAAATCTTCTTTCTGCAAAAGCATCTACAATTGGAACAGTTAATAAATTTAGGGAATTTTTGAAAAATACACCAATTATGTTTAAAAATTTGCAAAATACACTTTGATTTTTTGGTTTTTGAAAAAATACCTCTTTCAATAGTTAAAAAGTCTGTTTTGTCCTTATTTGATTTAACAACTAATTAATTCGTAAATATAATAAAAATTATTATTATTTCTCTTTTTAATTAAGATAAAATTGTGTTATTGATTTAAAAATGAATTAATTTTATTATTAATATTATTTTTCTTTTTATTTGAGATAAAGTTGTTTTACTAATTTAAAAATTAATTGATTCGTAAATATAATTATTATTAATATATTTTTTTATTTGAAATAAAGTTGTTATTGATTTAAAATTTAATTCATCCGCAAATATAATTATTATTAATATTACTCTTCTTTTAATTTGAGATAAAGT